CTGCACATAAAGTACACAGAAATGTTTTCAAGTCCAAATTGTTTGGAAAAAAAATTGTTTTGGAAAAAATCCAAACACTCCAACTGGAGCTAATGATTTAAATTGAATGTATCTTCCCTCTTTAGGGCCTAGTGTCTTAAATTACTTCAGAGAATATGCCATGCTTGCAGTGATTAAGAGGGCATTGTTTTTACAGGTATTTGAAAGAGAAAAATTAGAGACACTTACCTGAGAGATGACAAACTGATAACTTGTCAGGCAGCTGATCTGTCTCCTTCTTATACACAGGTTGAAGATTTTTTGAGGAAAATACCTCCACTCATATTTACTTTTCATGAGGATCAAGGAAAAGACATCCAATTTAATGAAAACCCTGAGAAAGAGGATACCCAGCTAGTAAAAATGGAAGATATATTCAGCCAACTATTATCGGACGTGGGCGCAATAGTTGACAGAAGTTTCATTTTTTTCAGACACATGCAAAAAGAATTTGACCAGTCTTTTCAGACATATTTCATGTCTGATCTGGACTTGTATGAGTCCCCCAGCATGCCAGTTTTACCTGAGGACACCACCAGAAATGATGGCCTGCAGAAAGGCTGGGCTATGCCTGGCTTCTTACAGACAGTTTTTGATTTCAGTAGGACAGTGTTTGAAGGCGTCAGTGAGGTGATTACCGACGTATTTGATGATTACAGAAATTATAGAAGAAATGTGTCAGAACAAACCAAAGGCAAGTGTTAGAAAATGAAAACTAACTGCACTGTCAATGACATCAAACCCCTCAGGATTGCTAAATTATGGTTAATGATTCTGTTTCCAGAACCTTAGCGTGAGATACTGGAAGAAAACTCTGGAGGCTTTCTTGGTTAAAGAGGCATGGGTCAAAGATGAATTAATCAGTTAAATGAACAGGTACAAGTCACCTAGAAATCTCAGAGAAATGTTGCAAGGGGACTTATGGGTCCTAGACAGCCTGATTTTCATGGCAATTGTCGTAGCAATTGCAGGAACTCCTCTGGAGCACTTAAGTTCATGACGGTGCATGTTTTCATAAGGCTGACTGACAGGTTTAATCTCAGCATTTGTCAGGATATGATTTGTATCATCTCTTATTGACAGGTCACCAATTCTAAAAAATTAGGGTAATTCTGTGAGATGTCAAGGCACATCCCTGCCCTTGCCAAATAGTGTTTAGTTCAGCCTGACAGCTGCAAGTCCTGATCCAGGCTACTGCCACGAAGCAGTGTGCCAATCAAATACCAGCCAAGCAAAGCCAGCCATCAGGTTTTCCAGTGACCAGAAAATTCTGGGCATAATGTTGGAGATAACTCTCAGTGAAGGAAAAAAACCCCATGGCCAACTTTCAGAATAGAAGTAAGCTTCTTATTTCACTAGTGCAAATAGGAGAGCAAGCACCATTCATATACATGATGGATCCTGTCCATAAGGAGATCACAATGAGCACATGCATAACTCTGAGTGACAGGTGACATACTCATTATATGACCATCAGGACATAAAAAGTCAAGTGATTCTTCAACAGTGTTTTTTAATGTTTTCTGCACCTCAGAGTTACCTCAGAAATAAGCTTTGCTACTGTGCTCTCATCTAGCTGTATGTAATTATGAAACATCTTAACTTCTATAAGCCAAAAAGATCTTACCTGAACTTGCATGTTGTAGAAATAATGTGTAATAATATTAGCAATTGTTTGATTATTAGAGGGGAATACACTACTATGTCTTTATAAGGGAATACATTACACTGGCATGAATTCCTTGAAAGAAAATGTGATTTGTATCTTCTCCTGACTTCTGATTTTTAATAGTTTATTCCTTTTATTTGTGGAGGAAGGGAGGGGGAATTTATGCCAGATACTTTGGATTAAGGACAAGAAATTATATTCTAGCACCCATACTAGGCAATGAATGTAAATTTTTCAAGATAATGGCAGTCTAAAAATACTATGACTTCATTCTAGATCCTGACAGAAGTGGCATGTTCTCAAAAATTGTGTCAGGGCGCCAGAGACCTCAGTGCAAGGAAATTCGGGAGAACTCCTCTGGATGCCCACAGTTTCATGAGAGATGTCAGAAATGTCAAGACAACCTTTTGCATGGTAAATAGCTATTTTGCTTTTTTTTCCTATTATGCATTGATCACTGGTTTATAGATTTTGAGGCTGTAATTTTCTACTGCACTGTTTTCATAGTCTGGGAATTGACATTCAGATACTGAGCTTGCACTGTAACTACGGATACAGCCACCATTCCTCATTCCAGATGATTTCAATTAGCTTTTCCCACTGTCTCCACAGAGTGTCAGTATAACTCAGTTGTTAACATACCACTGGTGGTCCAAAGCCAAGTTCCACAGTCTCTAACAAAATACCGATATATTCTGTTAGAGCTGCCATCCTGCAGAGAAGCAAGTTGTCAGACAGCAATCGATCCTGCCTGGGTGCAGAAGTGCTCAGTAGAAAGTGAGGAACAGCTCAAACTCCTGACACTCATTTCTCTCACAGACCACCAGGACTAACGTCAGATAGCATTCAGCTCCTCACAAAGAAAACAAGAGTTGAAGAGCCTGTAATTATTCTTTGTTGAACCATTTCAGCAAACAGAGCTAACAGAAAGGACAAAAGGGGACTTCATGTCAGTATGCAAGGAGATGGCAGAGCTCTGGTGGAACCCCCTGTGGGTACCTGAAAAAAATTCAGACTGCATCACCTAGAACTGCTGCAAGGACTCCCACTCCAGCATACACATCTGTATTTCCAGAATTATTTAGATCTTAAAAGCCACAGAATATGCTTAAATCCAAATCTCTCAGCCTGTTCTAATAGTAGGGTTGCTTCACTTCTCTAAGAGTTTTTCTGGCCCTCCTCTGGACTTGCTCCAACAGGTCCATGTCTTTCCTGTGCTGAGGACACCAGACACGGCTGCAGTACTCCAGGTGGGATCTCATGGGAGTGGAGGAGAGGGGCAAATCATCTCCATCCACCTGCTGGCCACACTGCTTTTGGGTGCAGCCCAGGATACAGTTGGCTTTCTGGGCTGCAAGTGCATATTACCGGCTCATGTCCAGCCTCTCATCCACCAGCACCCCCAAGTCCTTTTCTGCAGGGCTGCTCTTGAGCTGTTCATCCCCCAGCCTGTATTCATACTGGGGGGTTGTCCCAACCCAGGTGCAGGACCAAGTGCATTTGGCCTTGCTGAACGTCATGAGGTTCTCATGGGTCCACTTCTCAAGCTTGCCTGGATCTCTCTGGATGGCATCCCTTTCCTTCTAGGGAATCAACTGCACCACACAACTTGGTGTCATTTGTGAACTTACTGAAGGTGCACTTGATCCCACTGTCCACATCATTGATGAAGACACTAAACAGTACTGGTCCCAATAGGGACTCCCAAGGGGCATCACTTGTCACTGATATACATCTGAACATTGAGCTGCTAGTAAAGAAAAAATATTACCCACAGATAATTCCTCATCCACTGAACAGTCCACCCTTTAAATCCGTATCTCTCCGATTTAGAGAGAAGGATGTTGTGGGAGACTGTGTCAAAGGCCTTACACAAGTCCAGATAGATGACATCTGTAGCCCCTCCCTTGTTCACTGATGTACTTACTCCATTGCAGAAGGCTACTATGTTGGTCAGGCAAGACTTGACCTTGGTGAAGCTGTGCTGGCTGTCTCAAATCTCATCTCTGTCCTCCATGTGCCTTAGCATAGTTTCTAGGAGGATCTGTTCCATGACCTTCCCAGGCACAGAGGTGAGGCTCACAGGGCAATAGCTCCCAGGGTCCTGCTTACTATCCCTTTTTAAAGCAGTGCAATATTTCCCTTTTGCCAGTCACCAAGGACCTCACCTCTCTGCCATGACTTCTCAAATATCATGGAGAGTGTCTTGGCAACTACATCAGCAAATTCACTCAGGATTCTGGGATGCATCTCATCAAGTCCCACAGATCAGGGCCCATGTATATTCTGGTTCCTCATGTGGTTTTAAAACCAATCTTCTCTTACAGCGGGAGCAACTTTGCTTCCCCAATCTCTGCCTTGCAGTCTATATACCTGGGACAGACTGAGAATGGAATACGAGCTATTAAAGAAACCTATAACCTATCAAGTTACTATATGTAAAATCTACCAGTTTTTATTTAGCATAACAGAAAATCTATTGCCATGAAATATGATATAAATCTTAAACTACTTGGTAAGTCATTGATATACAACTAAATGGGATAATTAATCCATTTAGCCATTATGATGCTAAACTAAATCTACCAAAATAGGTCAGCAAGAATTCTTTTTTTGCGGTTTTTTTGGTGTTTTTTAAAGACCAACCCAAACCATGCCTCCTTGCTAGACCTTTTTGCAGTTTTCACCACTTCAAATAGAAAAGATGAAGTACAAGACTGTATATCTGTCTTGTACTTCTATATGTACTATAATACTGTCTTTTCTAACAGATTGCCCAAACGTTCCTGAGCTGCACATAAAGTTTGATGAAGCCTTTAAGCTGGTTAATCTCTCAGGGGAGCAGTATGAGCAGATTCTCCAAGTGGTTCGGTTTTGCAGTTTTCACCACTTCAAATAGAAAAGATGAAGTACAAGACTGTATATCTGTCTTGTACTTCTATATGTACTATAATACTGTCTTTTCTAACAGATTGCCCAAACGTTCCTGAGCTGCACATAAAGTTTGATGAAGCCTTTAAGCTGGTTAATCTCTCAGGGGAGCAGTATGAGCAGATTCTCCAAGTGGTTCGGCACAGAAGACA